TAGCTGGGACTGTAGGCACACGCCACCATGACTGGCTAGTTTTTCTATATATTTTTAGTTGGCCAATTAATTTCTTTCTATTTTTAGTAGAAGGTCTTGCTCTTGCTCAGGCTGGTTTCAAACTCCTGACCTTCAGTGATCGTCCGCTTGGCCTCTCAGAGTGCTAGATTACAGGCATGAGCCACTACCTGGCCTAAGTTGTTAATTATTAAACTGTTCTGCTATCCATTCATTAAAACGTGAAGAAATTACAAAGTCAGTAATGATTTGGGACTTAAATTGTTGAAAACTAAAATTTTTTATGGTTAATGTAAAACTTTGTTGGTAATTAGGAAAGGGATCTTTTTAAAAAGAATCATTAGGGTCCTTTTGTCATTCCAAAAAATGTGCATTATTATAATTTTATGTTATATTATCCTAGTAGATCATAAAATCCTTGAGGGCAAGGACACTGATCGTCTTGCAGTAGCAGAAAATATATACTCCATAAATATTTTTTGATTAGTAATTTAAATCTTGATTTAGTTGAGATAACTCATAATTTTCTGTAGATGCCTTATTTAAAAGGTTTTTGAGAAATGATTGACATATTATATTTTGTTATCTTAATACAATGTAACCTCTAATTAACAATGAAGAATCCTTTAGAAGTAATAATATTTAATTTATAATTTCACTGTAAAAAATAACATTAGCAATGTTCTTACTGTGTGTTGCCGCCCCCCCCCCCCGCGCGTTTTTCATTCATTATAGGATTTAGGTTATACCCTCCCGCTAATAATAGCCGGGCATGGTGGTGTGTGCCTATGGGCCTAGCTACTTGAGAATCTGAGACAGAAGGATCACAGCAGCCTCAAACTCCTGGGCTCAAGCAATCCTTCTGCCTCAGCCTTCTGCCGATTGCTTGAGCCCAGGAGTTTGAGGCTGCTGTGATCCTTCTGTCTCAGATTCTCAAGTAGCTAGGCCATAGGCACACACCACCATGCCCGGCTATTATTATATATATATATTATATATATGTACTATATAATTATTTATATAATTTTTTTTTTTTTAAGATGGCCTCACTATGTTACCCAGGCTGGTCTAGAACTCCAGGCCTCAAGTGGTCCTTCTGCCTCAACCTCCCAGAGTGCTGGGATTACAGGTGTTAGCCAACCTGCCCAGCCTAAGTAACCCATAATTTGGTGAGTAATTTGAACTATCTTATAGAATGCCACAGGCCTGGACTCAGGGAGACAGCTGTCCAGACTGCTATGAACAAAGACACAGAGGTGGCTGAGCACATGGGTACACATGTAATCCTAGCATTCTGGGAGGCCAGGTGGGAGGATCACTCAAGGTAAGTTTCAGACCAGCCTGACAAGACGGACCCTATCTCTACTAAAAATAGAAATTATCTGGAACTAAATATAATAATATATAGAAAAAATATAGCAGGGCTGATGGCGCATGCCTGTAGTTCCTAGCACTGGTAGCTGACAGACAGGTGCTTGAGCCCAGTTTGGGCTGCTGTGACTAGGTCGATGCCATACCTCTAAACCAGAACAAGAGCATTGTCTAAAAAAAAAAAAAAAAAGACACAGAGGCAAGGAGGCACAGAATATGTTTGGATAATGATAATATAAATATTAATAGAAAAATAGGTCAGGGCACAGTGGCTCATACCTGTAATCCTAGCACTTTGGGAGGCTGAGGCAGAAGGATCTCTTGAGTCCAGGAGTTGGAGACCAGCCTGAGCAACACAGAAAGACTCCATCTCTACAAAAAAAAAATTAGCTGGGCGTGGTACCACATGCCTATAATTCCAGCTAGTCAGGAGACTGAGGCAGGAGAATTACTTGAGCCCTGGAGTTCAAGGCTGCAGTGAGCTGTGATCATGGTGCTGCACTCTAGCCAGGCAATAGAGTTGAGACCCTGTCTCTTTAAAAAAAACAAAAAATAGAAAAATATTGTTGAAATCAGCAAGTATTTACTAGAAGGGGCTTATAGCATAATAAGACTATAATTCAAACAGATGTGATAACTGTTTTCACTCTTAGAAAATGTAGGTAAACATCAGGTAGAATTTGTTAGTGAGTTCTTAAATACATTGCTTATGTGGACCTTCCTACAGAACTGCTATTTTTCTAAAAAGGTTTTCTATTATACAGACAGACTATCTCACTCATATATAAGGGTTCGTTATATTGTTTGTGTGTGTTTGTGTTTGTCCTTCTGAACTAGAATAGTAACTTACTTATTTTATTTGTAGAATCTTATGTGTATGTAATGAGAGATACCTGGGAGACAGTATCATGGGAGTCATAAGAAAATATTAAATAATTAAGCAAACAGGCCTTTTGACCTGAAGATTAAAATATTTTCCAAATAAGTAATTAATTGTTGGTTCTCTGAAATACTATCAAGAGAAAACTTGCCCTGAATCCTAACTTATGTCAGATAAACTCAGTGACTATTTCTTTAATCAATATTTATAAATATTTTTAGTGATTTCTAGTCTGTACCTTTAATTCCAGTATATTTATAAAATATGTTAAAGTTTAACATTTTATATACTGAAAAAAATAGGTCTGCAGGTTCATACTGCTTAATATTTTTCATTTAGTTCTTCTATATAACAAGAGACTATGTCTTCTTGTTCTTAGAAGAATGCCTTACACAAAACCTAATAAATACTGATTCTTAAATTATTGATCTGTTGATTTTTTTCTTTTATTCACTGTTAGTTATTAAATATAAATTGAGAATTTCTACAAAGAATTAATAATATACGTAAAGGTGGTGCTAATGATTCCACAGAAATAGTACAACTAGAAGATAAGTCATCAGAGTACTATATAACTCCTTCCTTAGATCTTTACATACTTCACATCATTCAATTGCAGGTCATTTGTTACCTGCTCAGGGATGCTATTTCTCTAACCCCCCCTATCTCATGTTCCTCAAACTCCTGCTCCCCCATCCGGGTCCAAGTTGTCCATCCCTTCCCCTCTGAAGCCTTCCCTGATTCTCCTGTTCCCCACTCCCTGAAGAATGAATTCCTTTCTGTACCTGCATTCATTGTGTCACTTGGAAACGATAGAACCACCTCTATTGGTCCTTTACCATCTTTATACTTTTGTATCCTTAATATCAAATTATTTATTATCTATCTTCCCCATTAAAGTGCAAGCTTCCTAAGAACAGAAATATTGTTTTTGTTAGCTGCTGATACTCATGTGCTTAGAATAGTGCCTAGCATATATACATGTTTATGTATAGGTGCTTAATAAATATTTGTTGAAGGACAGAATGAAATGAACAAACAAATGAACATACTTGCTTATTAAGGGGAACTTTATATATGCGTTTCCAATTTTTAAGGTGCCAAATGAAAATTTTTTCTTCTATCGTTCTTTATAGATGTTGTTTACCTGGGTGTATTCCTGTTCTTCCCTTCCTATTGGTTGCTTTATCTGGGAGATGTTCTGTCTAACCATTGATAGTAGAGTTTGAACATATATAACAATTCTAAGAGGAGAGCTCTCACTTAGAATCTTCAGGGATATATAAAGAATACCAGGTTTTCTCTTAAGAATGAGGTTGCATAGTTTATCCCACTTGACCCTGGGATCAGAGTTTTCTTTTGCCCAGTGTCCAAGCCTCTATAACTGTATACTGCAAGTTTATAGTTTTAGGTAATAGCTTTGGAACTGCTATTTTCAGTTCCACCCATTGGTCAGGGCTTGGCTATAGGCCAGTCTCAAAAAGACCCAAAGCTTGCAAAAATTATTTAACCTGTTATTTCTAGCCTCTGATCAGGTCCTTCAGTGGGGGTTGTAACCAGAAGTCTAAGGATAAAATTCTAGAGGACCCTTTAGCTAAAGGTGCTGATAGTAAACTCAAAGTATTAGACCAAGAAGAAGGATGCTGAAAGAAACAGAACAAAATTCAGAAGATAGAGCAGCAAAAGAGATTTTAGGAAATAAAAGGGGAAAAAGCAAGACAAACATTGTTTTGTTAGTTAGAAGTGAGTTATGACTGAGCGTAGAATTAGTGCTAGTGATATAACTGTGTTAAGATGGGAGAAAGGCATCGGTTCTAGAGGAAAATAATACATGATGAAACCGTTTGAGTCATCATCTCTCGTGTTTAATTAAAAGTATCCAGATGCCTCTAGATCTACATGGAATCTTTTTACCTCTTTATCATTGAAAGGCAATGCTGCCTTTCCTCAAGCACCAATACATTCAAACGTACTCAACAAATCAAGGTTTCTTATATTAACTACATTTTATGATTTTTAAAAGATGCCTCCACAGTATGAATAGGATGTTCCAAAAGTTAGTCTGTAAATTGGTGGAACATATCTTAAAGAAACAAATGACAGTTTCCCAGAACATCCCATAAAAGCCTATCTAAATAGGTGTGATTAAAGTGCCAATAATGCATAAACCACAATAAACATAAAACATCTGTTCTTAAATTTAAATAATTATCAGGCACTGAACAAAGTGATTGACATACATAATCTTAGTTAATACTCAAAACACTGTAAAATATGTATTGTCTCTTTTGCGATAGACGCTACTAAAGAAAAAAATATTCAAAAGCTCACTTAGATCATACAGTTAGTGCAGTCAGGATTTGAATTCAGATCCAACTGACTCAAAGCTCTTACTCCTTACCACTAGGATATCTTACCTTTATATGTAAGAAATATTTATATATTTTATATACCAAGCAATATACTGTTTTCTACATAATTCACACCATACATTTTAGCAGAACTAAGGATATGTGATAACTATAAGGTAAGGTCATCATAGGTGCCATTGAAGAGGTATGGATAAATTAACCATAGGGGCAAAAAAAGCATTCACAAGCAAGGCTTACAAACAAACCTAGAGCACAGATATTTGTACATTTAGGATTGTTTGGATTTGAATTTATCTTTTACTTATTTATATAGTTTCCTAACATTTGAGGTACATTTATTTTCTTTTTAATAATAACAGTTCACAGAAGAAAAGCTTGGCCAGGCTGAGAAGACAGAATTGGATGCTCACTTAGAGAACCTCCTTAGCAAAGCTGAATGTACCAAAATATGGACAGAAAAAATAATGAAACAAACTGAAGTGTTATTGCAGCCAAATCCAAGTAAGAAACTTTTTATCACTTATCTACCTTAAATATTAATACTACTAGTGGGTTTTTTAATGTTAAAAAAAAAGTTTTAATGACTGACTATTTAAAAACCAAATTTTTTGACTGTGGCTTCAGGATTTGTTTTGTGTGTGCACTTTCATGAAGAAGAGATGATAGACATTTCTTCTCTGTGCTCTGTAACAAATTTACAAATGACATTTTTCAGACTTTTGTAGAATCCTCTTGAAACCTCAATTTCAGTCAGAAATTAGAAGTTCAGACTTTGAATTTTAAGAGCCATGAGGGACTATGAAGATAAAGACATGTTCCTTTTTTATACAGGGAAGAATTGTCCCTAAATAATTAAGAGAAAATTATTTAGATGCTTACATAGTTACCAGTTTTTTTATGTTCATGTTAAGTTTTATATTTTCACATAAAGTATTTCATTTGATTTTCAGACAATTGAGGTTTTTCAGATAACAACCTTGCAGATAAAGAGCATAATAATTTATTGAATGAAACTTAAAATTAGCATCTTGTGCAATGTAGCCTACCCAATTAAAAGTGGAACTTGGACTAGAAGTAGATGTATTGACATCCAGTCCTTTAACTATGAATTTTGCCTATCAAAACTGAAGGAGAGGCCGGGCGCGGTGGCTCAAGCCTGTAATCCTAGCACTCTGGGAGGCCGAGGCGGGCGGATTGCTCGAGGTCAGGAGTTCGAAACCAGCCTGAGCAAGAGCAAGACCCCGTCTCTACTATAAATAGAAAGAAATTAATTGGCCAACTAATATATATATATAAAATTAGCCGGGCGTGGTGGCGCATGCCTGTAGTCCCAGCTACTCGGGAGGCTGAGGCAGCAGGATTGCTTGAGCCCAGGAGTTTGAGGTTGCTGTGAGCTAGGCTGACGCCACGGCACTCACTCTAGCCTGTGCAACAAAGCGAGACTCTGTCTCAAAAAAAAAAAAAAAAACTGAAGGAGAGAGGCAAAAATACATGTTTTTCTTCTCTTTTCCCCAATGTTACTGTGACCATGTTGTGAAATGCTATAAACTTACTTTTAGATTCTAACTTAAACTTTTCAAGCACTGTGCAATTATTAGTAATTCTGTGTCTTTTTTGTGAAATTGTAGTAACCTTTTAAAATAGCCTTTATACTTTGAGTGAGGCTTATTATCTTTAGACACCATGTAGTAGTTATTATTTAAGGTCATTTTAAATTATATGCCATGTCACTTTTAAAAAGTAATACATATTTTTCCTCTTGTTCCTTGCTCTGTTCAGTGATTCCCAAATATATAAGCTGTTTTAAACATGTTTTTCTGAATGGAAAATAAGCTCATGACTTGTAAACAAGGAAATACACAATTCCCTTCACTCCCAGGCTTTGTGTCATGAAGTAGTAACAGAATTGGTTTGGTTTTTTGTTTGTGGAAAAACCAAAAAGCTCTGGGTACAAAGTTACATAGATTTTTGAGTGATCAGTCCCAACTCTGTTTTTCCTGTAAGTCTTGTGTTATTTTTGGTGTATACTGCTTTGGAAAGTAGAGTTTTTCGAGAATGTTATATAGAAATACAGATTGCATTATAGCAGAATTATCTGCATATTTTAAGATTTTATTATGACCTATTCAAATTAAACATTTATTAATATACCAAATATTTAATTAACTGAATGAAGTCAACACAGGATTCAACTTTAAACTTTTGGACAAATAGGTAGAAAGGTAGTCAAAGGAATCACTCACAGTCAGAAAATGAAAACTCTGAAATTTAAGTAGCGTCTTCTAAATGGTTATGTTTTGAAAAGACTTGTTTTGGTTTTAACTGATTTAAAGATTTTTAAATTTCTGATTAAAAATAAATCTTCTGATTTTATACTAGAATCTGCCACAAAAGTGAGTATTATTCCACAACCCTATTTTATATATTATAATTAACCCTTTTGCCAACTCCTGAGGTGTTTCTCCTACTGGTTCAGCTCATTTTTCAAAAAATTTTCAGCACTGTAAACTTTCAATTATGGTAGGAATCTATGGGAGGTACTTAGAGGGAATCTATTTGTCTTAGCTTCTTTTTAGATTGTAATTTTAATTTATAGTTAATCATTGTTTCTGGAAACTTCAGCCATTTTCTCATTTATCATTGAAATACCTCACTGTTAGGCAGCAATGTGAATGTGAATTTCTTTTGGTCTTAAATATTATGCTAACCAAGTATTTATTCAGTTTTAACTAGTTTTTCCTTTCTATTAATACAAATATTTTATTAATACATTTAACCTTTTGTCTTGTATTTTAAACCTATTTTTAATGGATAAATCTATTGAGAGAATATGCATGCTTAGAGGTAATGTCTATGTACTTTAAAAACATAATTAAATAAACTAAAGCCAAGGGATCATATTACTGATCTGTCTGTAGACTATTCCAAGCCTGGATTGTTCTATTCCTTAAGCACTTGTGTCTATATTTAGACTCCAGGCAAGAAAAAGAGAGAACACATGCTCACACTAAAGCTGTCAGATGTGACTTTTTGGTTCTTCTAGGTACTTTATATCCATAATTTCCTAGCTGGAAATCCCCGATTTTGAAGTTATAAACATATATTCAGAGTTAGAAATGCTAAAAATAGAGCAAAGGCAACTTGACTAAATAGTAAGTGAATTACTGTTGACCCTCTTCTGGAACTTAAATCCCATAGAATACTCAAATAATACTTTCAGCTTTATTATAAAATGTTTTTGTGCCAAGATATTTTATCAACTTTCTAAAATTATGAGTATTTTAGAGTTACATAATACTCTAATATGTAAACAAAAAATTATATTAAGATGTACCTGAATGAATGTTAATTTAATATTTAAGAGACAATAAATGGTAGGAGAACAAAACAATTTTTTAAATAGCTTTGCTTTTTTGAAATCATTGGTAATTTTTACCTTTTTCCTAGATGCCAGGATAGAAGAATTTGTTTATGAGAAACTGGATAGAAAAGCCCCAAGTCGTTTAAACAACCCAGAACTTTTGGGACAATATATGATTGATGCAGGGACTGAGTTTGGCCCAGGGACAGCTTATGGTAAGTAAAAGGCAAAAAGTCCTGATAAGATAATATCTTTATGTTTAGATTTTTACTATTTAGAGATGTCATTAACATATTAGTAGAATTAATTTTAACTTCAGATATTTTATGTTAAAATTTTGAATGAATTAAGAATATAGAGGTGACTAATATGTATAGTTCAACTTAATATTTAATATATTTAGAAAATATACTAAAATTATCATCTTTCAAAAATATAATTTTTTTTATTTATATCTTTTTTTAGTTAAATGAATTCTTCATTTGTACTCCCATTGATCTTATAATACCTGTGTTGTAGTATTTCTTGTGATCTATTGCAATTATTGTTTACATACATTTCCTACTTGATTTTTTTTTTCTTTAGAGCTTTCATAAGGCTTATTTAATATTAAAAATATTTGGCATATAGTGTTTGAACAAATCACCAGTGCTTTTGTTTTAATTTCACAATAATGTCAGTATCCAAAACACATTAACAATGGTAATCTGGAGGTTTGGATTACATTTCATTTGTATTTTCCTCTTATGTCAAATTTTCTATAGTCATGGTTTAAAGTTTGCCAACTTTACCTTATTGCTTTGTTTTACTCTTGTATTATTGCTTTATTTGAGCTCTGAGCTTTAGTTTTTGGGTGATTTTACACTTTAGGATGACCATTGTGTTGTTCCTTACATGATGCAGTTCTGAGTATTTCTGGCAGATCAGGTTTGGTCTTGACAAATTCCCTCAGTGTTTGCTTGTCTGAAAAAGTATTTATTTCTCCTTCATTTATGAATCTTAGTTTTACGGGATACAAAATTGTAGGATGGCAGTTGTGTTTAAGAAGACTGAAGATGTGGGGACCCCAATCCCTTCTGGCTTGTAAGGTCTCAGTTGAGAAGTCTGCGGTTAGCCTGATAGGTTTTCTTTTTTAAGTTACTTGACGTTTTTGCCTTATGGCTCGCAGGAGTTCCTCCTTCATGTTGACTTTGGCCAGTCTGATGACTACATTATCTTGGTGATTGCCTCTTTGGGATAAATCTCCCAGGTATTTATTGAACTTCTTGTTGTACTTGGATGTCTAAATCTCTAGCAAGACCAGAAATTTTCCTCAATTATTCCCTCAAATAGGTTTTCCAGCCCTTGTGCATTTTCTTCTTCACCCTCTGGGATGCCTATGATTCGTATATTTGGGCGTTTCATATAATCCCATATTTCTCATAGACTTTGTTCATTCCTGTTAATTCTCTGTTCATTATTTTTGACTGTTTTAATTCGAAAAAGTTGTCTTCAAGCTCTGAGAGTCTTTTTTCTGCCTGGTCTAGTCTATTCTTAAAACTTTCCAGTGTGTTTTGTCTTTCCTTAAATGAAATTTTCATTTCCAGAAGTTCTGTCTGATTTTTCTTTAATATGTTGATCTCTTCAGGGAATTTTTCATTCATTTCCTGAATTGGTTTTTTTTTTTGTTTCTTTGAGTTGGTTTTCCATTTTCTCTTGGTTTTTGTTGAGCTTCTTTATAATCCATATTTGGAATTCTTTATCTGTCATTTCAATATTTTCATTTTGGTTAGTATCCATTACTTGAGGCCTGGTGTTCCCTTTTTGGGGAGACCTTTCATTCTGATTTTTCATACCTCCAGAGTTCTTATCCTGATTCCTTCCCATCTGGAGCAGTTGTTACTTCCTAATTTTGGATTTTCTTTTGTTTAGATGGGGCTTTCCCCCACACACAGTCGCTCATACAGGAGTGTTTGTAGCATATGTTGTATAAGAACCTTTGGCTTGGTTTGTGGGTGCTTTGGTGATTTAGGTTCCTGATAGATGCCTTAGTAATGGATATCCTTAGTGTGATGCTTTTCTGAGTTGCTAGTTTTGTGTATGCTATAGCAATGATGAGCTATGTGTGTGGGCAGATTCCTTGTTGCCCTTTGATGAGAGAGGATGGAGGCCTTTGAAATCCTTTCTCTGTCCCCAGTTCGATGATCTTCTTAGCAGTGTCAATTGTAATGGCACACCCAGTTTAATCATTAAGATGGTAGGTGGCTCTTGTAAATGAGAAACAACCTCAGTTTGTATGATTGAGTCAGAAAATGTTGAAAAGGACTGTGCAAATTGACCTCCCTGTCAGTAGGTGGTGTTTGCCAGAAGGAACAGACTGCCATGTTGATTTTATTCCTGACTCTGGTCCCTCAGGAGAAGCATTCTAATGCCCCAGGTGGTGGTTGGGGCCCTGGAACTTCCACATGTGTCCTTATTCTCTGCTTTAGCAGAGGCAGGTAGGGGAGTGAGGCTGGGTTGGGTGGGCTTGCCCTCAGGCTGCACAAAAGCTGGTAAGGTTGCTGCTTCAACAGGGTTCAAAGGTCTGTTCCCAGCTTCTGAGGAAAGCCACCTGGGAAGGTCTAAAGTGGCCCCACCCAGCCAGAAAGTCTGCTTGTGGAGACCAAGCTAGTTAAGATTCACAATCTGACTGTCCAGTTCTTACATCTCGCCCTGGCCTGTGTGTTTGTCCTGCTAGCATGTCTCCCCAAAATTCCAGCCAGCGAGGAACTCCGAAATTGGGCCCCCCAGGTCCACTACAAGTCCACAGAGAAAGAGGCATGGGCCCTACTCTGTGCATGCCTCAGCCTGGAATATGCACCCACCAGAGAGAGGGAACTGTTCCTCTACTTCTTAGCAGAAACTGCTTTTCTGGCTGGAATGGGCGGGGAAGGGGCCACCACTCCAGGTCAGCCCCAGGGCATGAATAAACTGTATCTGGTTGCTGTGGCACCCAGGGATGGGCACTTCTTCACTCTAAAATCTGCCATAATCAAACGGTGGTTTTCCTGTGGGGTGGTGGGAGGGTGGGCACTCTCCCAGCTGGCCACATCTGGAAACCCCACAGTATTTTGTCAGATCTGCTCACATGGGCTTCCTCGCCATCTGAGTCCAACTCACAAACCTCCCTGCTATGTCTTCAGCCATCCACTGGAGTCAGAAAGACACAGGGTCTGTCTGGCCTGCTTGTCTGACCTGCTGGCATGTGACTCCACAAAATACCTTCAGGCAGGGAGTTCCTGAGTCGTGCACCCTGGATCCATTGCAGGCCTCCATAGGGAAGGCTGTGGGTCCCACTTTCTGTGGAAGTCAGACTGTAACATACTCCTGCTGGGGAGGTGGCCACTTGCCAAATTCTTGGCCCAAACTGCTTTCTCTGTTGCTGTGGGTGGGGAAGGGACAAGGAAGGAAGAATCTGAATGTAAGTAAGCCGGCTCTCTAGCCTCTCGTGACACCCTCCCTGGAACGGAGTGTCTGAGCCCTGGGATCCCGCAAGTTCTCACTGCTATACTGTGTTTGCCACTGTGTCTGCACTCGTGGGGATAGAAAAGCCTCCAAGAAACTCAGTAGCACTGGCCACCGAATTCCTACGGAAGGGTGAGACGGATCCCTCATACCCTTTCAGTGGGCTCAGAGCTTCTCTGGCTTTGATCCTCTCCAGTATCCTTTTTCTGTTATCTTCTACCTTCTCTGCTTCTCAGTTTTCCTCCATGAGATCCATGGCAAACTCCAGCACCTCTCTCTGTGATCCACACCTGCCCGCATCTCTTTTCTCTCCTTTGTCAGGATTTCTATCTTCCCTCTGGGATGGTCTTGACAAGCAATGTTTCTAGTCAGCCATCTTGTCTCCCCAAGTTGTGCCAACTTTATTAGTTGCTGTACTGACTTTTTAAATGTACAACTCTGAAGCTATAGTCTATATTTGAAGCTTAGTCTATATTTGAATATGAACAGGTAGGTAGATTAAATGAGCTTCCACAGATAGTTCTGATATACAAAATATAATAGCTTATAAATTCTGGGATTGTCAAGTTTTAGTCTGAAATGTCCATTCTTGGCGTGCTTGAGACTGAAGAATGACCAGACACACCAAAGTTAGGCAAGCACGAAAATGAGGTTTATTGAGAGGAGAAAAATAGGATTATAGGGCCAAGAGCAAGATACAGGTTTACAGAGCATGATACATATGCCATGGATGATGAGCAGACCCATTGTCGCGGCAGGGTGAGCAAAAGGAAGGACAGAGAGATCATGGTTATGATCTCCATCTTTTTTTTATACTGCCTGGATAGGGACCTCCCTTGTGGTTCAGAGGTCACCATGGTACCACTTTGATTGGACACTTGAGGAGCTGCATGACCTGAGTCTTACCTCTCATGTAGCTTCTAGATCACTTTCCAGACTTTATGGTACCTACGTTGGTTGGCCCTTGGGCTAGAGAGTCCTCTGCATTCTTCTGCAGCTGATGCACCAAGTTCTGATTGACAGATTCATAGGATATTCACACCCTCCTCCCCCATGCATGGAGAATTAGCATTGGGCAGGACCAAGAGGGGGGCAACAGCACCCACTTTCATCCCTAGGAGACCTGGAATCCCTCACTATCTATCTAATAGGATTAAATGAGTTTACAGTTTTAGTAGAAGGAAACAACCTAAATACTGTATAATGCCTCAATCTATTGATGGAATTTTAGATGTTCAACTTTGAAACTTTTACATTGTGCTATTTAAAATTCTAATACTTCCAGAGTCTGATAATGCTTAAAATTTAAAATAAATTTAAAATTATTTCTAAATTTTAACTGTTAATTTTTAAAAATTTTTAGACATTAAACATTTTATTATCTACTTGCGCCAGGGTTGGTTAGATGCTGGGATCATAAAGGTATAGGAAGGAGACCCAGCTTCTCCCTTCACCAAGCTGAGAGACTCAGTGAGCATGAACATTAGAAAGAATTCTAGATTTTTTTCCTTTTCTAATATGATTAATCTGTTTGTACCTCCTGTAATTCCAGGGACTATACCCTGATTATTGGAATTAGGCTGTGTGAACCTATTAGTAATTGATAATAGCTGAAAATTGAGTATTCCAGACATTGGGCTGAGCACAATACAGTATATATTTTTATGTATTGTTTCAGTAAATCCTCACTTGTATCTTGCTTATAAATTCTATTATTTCCATTTTAAAGAAAAAGAATTTGAGGCTTAGAGAGATTAAGTAATTCATCTATAGTCGCACTGGTAATTCAAATGCAAATCTGTTCATATCCAGAGACAGAACACTTAACTGCTTTCCATATTATCTTTCTTACCAATCATATCTAATCTCATTGTTACATGAAGGGATTAAGATCCACAGAGCTCAAGTTTATTAGAGATAAAACCAGGAGTAGAACCCTGATTTTGGGGTTCCCTTTCTGTCCACTTCTATGTCTGCTTTCCTGCTGTATTCGTCCTGTTTAAATATCAGAGTGTATGTGTTGCAAAAACATAGATTTTTTAAAACCTAAGATATAAATATGAGCTATTATTTATGGAAACTTGAGATAATGTGCAGGGATGTAGAAACAAAGGACAGATTGTGACTTGATCTATTGTAAGCATTATACTTTTATAAACATTACTACAGTTATTTCTTACTATCCATGGGGGATTGGTTCTAGTACCTCCCCACCCCCAGGATACCAAAATCCCTGGGTGCTAAAGTCCTTTATATACTATGGTATAACTTTACATATAACCTATACCTTTCCTCTTTTATACTTTAAATCATCTCTAGATTACTTATATTAATAATACCTAATACAGGCCAGGCACAATGGCTCAAGCCCATAAACCTAGCACTTTGGGAGGCCAAGGCAGGAGGATCGCTTGAGGCCAGGAGTTCGAGACCAATCTGAGCAACACAGTGAGACCTTAACTGACCAAAATTTTTTAAAAAAATTAGCCAGGTGTGGTGGTGCATGCCTGTAGTCCCAGCTACTTGGGTGGCTAAAGCAGGAAGATCTTTTGAGCCCAGGAGTTTGGGGTTGCAGTAAGCTATGATGATACCATTTTACTCTAGGCTACAGAGCGAGACCCTGTCTGGGCAAAAAGCAAATACATAATGTGAATACTATGTAAATAGTTGTTATACTGTATTATTTAGGAAATAATGACAAGGAAAAAAGTCTGAACATATTCAGTACACTTGCAACCATCCCTTTTTTTTTTTTTTTTTTTTAAGAGACAGTCTTACTCTGGTGACTGTTGCCCAGACTGGCCTCAAAACTCCTGGGCTCAAGCAATCGTTCCACCTCACACCCCCACCCCAATCCTTCTACACCCTAGCAACTGGGACTACAGCCAGACATATACCACCTATGCCCAGCATTGCAGCCATCGTTTTTCCCCCCATATATTTTCAATCTGCGGTTGGTTGAATCCACAGATGGAGAACCCACAGATGCAGAGGGCTGACTGTATACTATTTCAGCTGTGATCATAAATATTTTTTGGTGTGTCTATATTCTTTAGTCCCATTGATAGAATTGGCACAATTAACTATGCTATGATAGAAATTTCATCTTTGTCTTTTCGTTTAGATATTTATAATCTTAAATTTACTTTTAAAATGAAACTACCTTAATTACAGTTAATTCTGTTTGATTTTACTTAAGTGAATAAGTGACAACTAACTTTTAAGCAGATTAAATTGCTGATTTATCTGTATGTGATTTTCTTTTCTGATATTACCAGATAATGACAAAAACTCTTTTCCTTTGCAGGTAATGCTCTTATTAAATGTGGAGAAACTCAAAAACGAATTGGAACTGCAGACAGAGAACTGATTCAAACATCAGCCTTAAATTTTCTCACTCCTTTAAGGAACTTTATAGAAGGAGATTACAAAACAATTGCTGTGAGTTGGAAAATGCTCCCTTTTTTGTAAAATAATTTAGATATATACTTATCCCTCTTAATGACTGTGTAGGTGTAGCAGATTAGAAAACCTCAATAATCTAGGCAGGTGCATATTCACCAGAACACAAAATGAAACCAAGATAAAGGACTATTTATAACATTGACTCCATTTTTATGTCCTAATGTTAGAGATGCCTTTACATCCAATTTCATTCATTACCAACACTAAAATTCATAGAGAGGCTCCTGGAATAATTATGAAAACATGTTATAAAATATTACCGTAGTATATCCATGTACCTATTCATTGGGAACTAGAAACCTACTTATTAAAAGGTATGCTGGTTATTATACTTCCCTAGAAGTATATTATCTTCTTTTCACATAGTTCTATTTTATTACTGAAGTGTAAGAAATAAATCTCTTTCTTTCTCAAACCCGATCTATTAGTCTGTATTTTTTTTATTTAACTTATTTTATTAGTGATGGAGAATGAAAATTTTTTTCTAAGATTTTTGCAAGGCTGCTTGCTTTTTATGAATACAGCTTCAAACCTTAATTTGCAGATTTCTTATTACAAAATATTGTGGGAATTTTCCATATGCTTACAGTGGATTTGTCTCTGTGTAAACAAATATTTGGCCTGAGACAGAAGAAAATCACCAACTTAAAATATAATTTAAAAGATAATAGCTTGTCAGTAGGATGAAATTGGAGGTGTGAAACCCAAGAAGTAATAAAGCAAACTGAATTATGTAAACTTACCTATTCTATAGAAGCTTGATGTTCCCATTAGGAATTCTAAGATACTATATTAACATTTATTCGTTATTCTATAAATTTGGTGAAACTTCATTTTGGAGTAGTTCACTGACATTTGGTTACACATTAAGAGCAGCCCAGTTCTTGATGTAGAGCACACAGGATATCAAGGAACCTTGCCCTAGACTCATACTTCCTTCATCATAGGCACTTTCTGGATAATATGCAACAGTTTTAAAAAGATTCCTCAACCTGAACACTATTGATGCTTTGGGCCAAATAATTCTTTGTTGTGGGTGCAATACTGCATTGTAGGATATTCAGTAGCATCCCTGGCTTCTGCCTAGTAGATACCAATAACATCCTTCTCCCAGTTGTGACAACCAAAAAGATATTCCCAAATGTTCCCTGACGGACAAAAATCACAAAATATTTAAACTAATATTCCTTTGTTTTGATCACTACCTGCCATATTTCCCAGACATCTAGATTGTCTTAATCATTTTAAAATTGAAAACTGTTAAAGGGGGGGGGGGGGGGGGGGGGGGGGGGGGGGAGTCCCAGATACCTGAATGGTCACTTTATAGTGAACTTTATAATCATAGATCTTTATTAGAGGATATATGTATTTACTAAAGAATAATGCTTTAAATGTGTATGTTCATACTGGATTTTAGCATCTTTAGCCTGTATTTTTTTCTTTTGTATATTTGTAGAAAGAAAGAAAGTTATTACAAAATAAGAGACTGGATTTGGATGCTGCAAAAACAAGACTAAAAAAGGCAAAAGCTGCAGAAGCTAGAAATTCAGTAAGTAGTGTTTTTTTTTTAAATAGAAAAACATTTTAGGTTAATAACTTTAAGATTTGTAAATATTTTACCAGTATACCATGCAAGATACAGATTGTGCCTAAGAGTAGACTATGACTCTGGGGTCTTGTTTTGTGTTTTTAAGCAAATTTATGAGACCTTATTACATCCAAATCTATGCAAAGTAGCCATATATCAAGAGACGATATTCAGCTATACAGTTGTTACTAACAAACAAAAATTACAGTAGCTCCTAAAGCTGTGTCATGTTCTCTAAATATCTTCAGTGGTGATGGCAAATATATGTTTTGGAAACATATTTATTATATTTGGAAACAGCAAAGATAGTAATTAAAATGAAAATAAATCAAATTTGAGGATACTCGTGTATGGCTTAAAAATTATAGACGCATTCCCTTTCCACATATGACACACTGATTAAAGGAATGGTTACCAACAGTAGTTCTAAAACTATTCAAACTGTGGTAGCTTGAACTTTCAGGTGGCTATTTTGAAGGGGAGGAAACCCATTTGAATAAGTTTTGATATATGTGTCAGAAAATCAACCTCAGAATAGTCTTTTAAAATTGAGTAGGTGTATATTAAATACAGTAATTCAATTTTTCTTAAAAGATTTTATTTATAAACTTTTTAATTAATCTAATAGTTAAACTGTCTATATTTTCATTCCACTGTTTGAAAAAATGTATCAGATTTGAACTGGAATACTTTCAAGATAGTAGAATATAAACAAGTATGAATTTGTTATAGGAAGTTAATTCCTAATTTAAGCAAAGGCGTGATATTTCCACTGCCTTCTGTTACTAACTCACTGCCACTACCACCGTTAAGAATCAAATTGCCTTAATGAGCATATTGCCACAATGTTGATAGAAGTCTAGTAGTTCTTTTGCTTGGGGGAAGGGAAGAAAGGTTGAGAATTGGTCTAGAGCGAAGTTTAAAACTGTGGTAACTTGGTGTTGAATAGTTATGTCTTATGAGACATAATACCTTTTATGAGCAGAATAAGTTGTGTTTTTTTATAGGATTCCCTTTCTGAAAGATTCTGTATTAGCTACTGCTAGAGAAGAGCTATCTTTGATGAAATGTTAATTCCAAATTCACTGGTGTTTTCACTTCAGAGTTTATGATGACATCATCATGTGAACAACATAAACTTCCCTAAAAAGACCATCTGCAGAATCAAAACTTTGAAAATGAGTACAATAGATGGCAATAGACCCTAAATTAGTTTTAGTTTCTTAGTTAGTAATAATGAATTTGTATAGTAAAGCATAAATTGATTTTTAAGGTACTGATTTCATAAGAAAAAGTTAAATAAGGATCCTTTAGAGATAAATATTTGAACTGGAACAGAATCTTTTTATTTATAATGCCTACATATGCCCAGTGATGATTATGTAATAAGAATACTCTTGTCAAGTTGCAGTACAAAAACTTTAACAAGCACTGTTAAAGTAGTGATAGTCTGCTTTTCTACCTGGAAAAATGCCAGAACACACATAAATTTAACAGTATACAAAGTGCTTTGATTATTCTAAATTATTTTACCACTGCTATTTAAATGGGTAAGAACTAAATATAATAGCAGAACAATTTTGAGAGATGTTTCCTTTTAATATATCTAGAAAAGATCTTGGCAATTTTTTTGTGCTATTTGTTTTTGAAGACCATTTTTTAATGGGAATTTGTTTAAAATTAAAGTGAAAAATAATACAGATGACTTTATCCAGCAATTCATTTATGCATGGCTCTTCTAGAATTTATATATTACATAAAACAAAATTTAACTATAGCCAAATATTAAAAATATTAGTCTGGACAAAAATTCATATTTCTTGATTTTAGTTATATTCTTTCCTGTAGATAACCAATTCATTTTTCTTCAAACTTTACAGCAGTAAATCTGAAATCTTTGGGAAGGAAAGGTCCTCTTAGTTTATTATTTCATAAAGTTTTTATTTAGTGATCCCTTTTCCCCCCTGTATTTCTCTTCCGTTTACTTGAAGAATACAAAAGAATAGAAACCACTAGGAGTTTGGGTTTGCTTTTTTCCCCCTTCATATGACACATTTCCTGGTTCCTAGTTGGCAACCTAAGAGGTTAATCTAACCCCAGACTTTCTTTGAATTTACTTCTGTATAAATTTCTGTGGATTGTTTTGTGACTAGTTACTCCTCTGCTAATAAGGTTTGGGACCTTTGTATATCAGCAGTTTTTAAAAAACTTACTTGCTAATTTCTTTTTTTTTTTAATTCTGTATTTGTTGATTGCTAATTTTTTGCAAGGTACTCTCTTGAGGAAGAGTTCATAGATAATGTAAAATCTCTACTGCCTGCCCTACGCCTATAATCTAATATAGTAGATTAAACTTTTTAATGATATGTAGCTGTATCAGTAAAAAATTTCTGCCTGTAATCCAGTATTTCTACTTCACTAACTTCTATTTTATGAGCATGTAGAAGAATGGTAAAGCAACATCAAAGGCATTTCTCAAAAATATACCAGTTAAGCAGAAAAAAGAACCTACCTTAATGTTTCACAATGAACAAAAATACAGTTTGGAAATAGTTTATATATTTGACAAAACTTATGTCAGGAAAGCAAGGACAAAATACAGCTATAGGTTGAGTTATCCCTAAACTAGAAATCTGAAAAGCTTCAAAATCTGAGTCTTTTGAGTGCCTACATAATGCTCAAAGGAAATGATCACTGGAACTTTTTGGATTACGGTTGCTCAACCAGTAAGTATAATATAAATATTCTAAAATCAAAAAAAAACTGTGAAACACTTCTGGTCCAAGCATTTTGGATAAGGGATATTCAACCTGTAATGTATTTAAATTATAAGGCACCTATATATACTAACCTTAGTCTGACATAAACTTCTTCTTAAATTATTTTAGAGTTTTGTTAATGGGAAGAAAAAAATCAGTTGGTTTCAAAGCTCTGCGGTCTTTAGAGGTTTAGACCTCTATTATTTCGGGGCATCCAAATTTGATGGAAAATATTTCGAGTTACATCACATAGCAGATATGTTCCTCTACCTACTTTAGTACTTCCGTAGTGGTCTAAATCTTTAATGTGTAAACTCAATAAATTTATAGCACCATAACATAACCTTAACTTTAAATTCAAACGTGTATATATAAAGTTTATCAGAAATACGAGGATTGACATGCCTTTCATGTTTCTTCAGGACATGCCAAGACCTGGCTGAGGCTGATTGAAAGAAAACGTGATTGAAGGCATCATAAATTCATAAAATAGAAATGATCTTTGAATAGGAAAATTGTGGGTAGGCAGAAGGACTTTCATAAGTGAAAATTTAATAAGATTTTTAGGTAACTGGCAGTTTTTAAGGTGATATGTCTTCCCTAAATGATTCTAATTAAAAATCAGGCATCAACCATATTTTTTGTTTTAAAAATTAAATAGTTTCACACCACCATGTGAAACTTCATAGAATAATATGGTTGGGGTTTTTTGAAGTAGAAAATTTTTATTGGCTCCTTTAATACTTGTTTAGTGTGTTCTTTATTGTGCAGAAGTAACTTGTTTTACTGTGTTCATTGGTATAATGTGTTCTTTGTCTCTTACCTATGCACTTAAGCAACTAAACTCAGCTCGCCTTGAAGGAGATAACATTATGGTAAATTTCTCTTACATGCTCAACTTCCTGCATGTAAAATGGCTGAAGGTTTGTTGGCCTACTGTGTTTTCTACATCTTGAATAAAGTGCCTTCTCTTGCTATTAGCTGCATGTAAAATTCTAAAATAGTTGAAGCCATGCATTCGTTATGTCTAACAAAAATGCAAGGGAAAAATACTAGCTGAAATGATACTGGAACTTGAAGAAAAGAAATTGTGTTTTCTAATTGCCAAATATATTGATTATACCAATACATATTTTAGAATCTGAATTTATACCTAATACATAGTGCCTTTTTGCACCCACTGTAAAATGCTAATTTAAGCTGGCACTTCATATTTTGGCAAAGAAAATTAACAAAATTTACTTTATTTATAGAAAAGCTTAAGGCATCCAAATTAACTTTGTTCCTCTGTAGCTTCATTGTTTACCTTATATTCACCCAAACTCAACATAGAATTAATTTTTTCTGCCATCCCAGGCCAAGACAACCACAATAGGTTAGCTATTCCTATAGTGGTCAAACTCATTCTCCATCCAATGCTAACTCAAGAAAGTTTCAGAATGGTGATAGCCTTGGGCAAGAATAGAAAATAAGAATTGTTTTATAGTATCCAATGTATCTATTTAGCTCAATTTGAGAAAAATTTTGTGATATTAGAACTTTTTAATTTTTGTAAAATAAAATTGTAAAATCTGAATGTAGCCAATAAAATTTATAGATACAGTGTTTGTATTATACTTCTAGACATAGTAATTCCATTAGAAGGGCAAGAATCTGACGTACGATTAATAATAATAAATTGGCAATTAACTGACTGCTTTTATTCCATGCATTGACTAAAAGCAGGAAAATAATCTGTCTACTAATGGGAAAGATTATTGTATAGAATACATAAAATGTGTTTTTGTTTGGGGGGGTTAACTATAATTATTGAAACACTGGCTAAATTATGGCTTTCTTTAAATAGCAAGAGAATGCATTCTTTTATTTCCATTGTCCTATCTATATAGGTAAATGAAAAGGGTGAGACTTATATTTTAGTCATTGCTAATTTAGTATATAAATCATAAATTTTTTTGTCTTAGGTACAAGTATCATCCTAAACAATCAGCAGGACTTTGTTTCATTTGTTAATACTGATGTAATCCACTTATATTAATAGTAAGATATATAACTTTAGTAATTTTAAATTTATTTGATGTCCAGTTTGTTTCCCCCAAAAAGGCTATATTCAGCATTCAGCTTATGTTAATTCCTGCTTTGCTTTCATTTCCTAAAACTCTAGAATATATACCTAAATGAGAAATTAGAAATCATTTAGTCTAAATCTCTCATTTTACAAATGAGAAAACTGGAACTAAGAGATGAGAGTTTCCCAATTTGGGAAAAATATTATTCTTGTTAATTTATATAATTAGCATAAGATTGAAAAATTGATAGTACTGATACATATAAAAGGCATACTTTTACGGTATGTTAAACTGTACTGACTTAGTTACTACCATGTTTAATCTATTAATATGATACTAGAAAAGGAGAGTGTATCATTTGAATTAAAATATTTACATTTTTCTATACTAAGTTGTAGAAAATGTTAAATTCCAACTTTCTTTCATGCTCTATATTTTTCTCTAATTTTTAATGCTGGCTAGATTTGGGCAGAGGAAGTGACAAAAGTAAGTAAATTATTAAACTACAGAATTATGAAACAAGAATTTTATTGTCATTCAGTAAATATTTATTGGGCAACAACTGTGGGTCCAATCATAGTCTGTTACTATATCGTATAAAATCTGAAAATTATGAAATGTTCAAGTCTCTTTAGCCAATAGCTTCACAGAGCAGAATAACAATAACATAGAGATATAGTTTGCATATACCCTGATAAATCTTAGATACCTGTTACATTAAGTGTTAATCTTAAAATGACTTGCTAGAAGACAGTTGAAATACTTAATTTATTCATTGATAACTATTTTTTTAAATGACAGTTTTTAAAATGTAAAGAATAGTTAATACCATGACCTGTATCTTCAGCCATTTAGACATAGGTGTCACACAAATATTTTAGGTAACTGAGACTTATTCACTCTAGCACCAAAGGTAATTTTTCTCAGTCTTGTTAGTTGAAAATGTTTGTGAAAAATGTACTTTACTATTTGCTGCATTAAATTCGGGATAACAAGTATTTAATTTTGCTTATAGTTAAGGGCATTAATATGAATATTCATTATTGTACTGTGTAACAGTTGGATCTGTTGTTTGTTTTTCAAGTATGTTGTCTCTTCTCTCGGTGTCAGACTGTTACTTCTAGAAGCTGTCCATATGACTGCTTCTAGCAGTCCCTCTGCCTGTGTTACCATTTCTAATGTTCTCTGGGATGGGGAATCAAGTAATTAAGCAAGAATTTAAGGAATAAAATTATGACTTTAGTGCAGACTTGTTTCAAATGCTATTTTAGGTTTTCAGCATTTTTCATTTTGGTCCTCATGTTCGGGCCTACCAAAATTTGACCTTCATGAGGATTATGCTGGGGATTGAGGATAGGTGATAACTGTGGCCTCTGACTATTAATATCTTTATAAACTTTAATTTTTATTTTCTGGCTTTGTAGGATTGCTGGTTATGCAATCTGTTCTATGCATAGGCGACTTATGCTCTCATCTCCCTTTGTGGAATCTGTTCATCACCTTTGTTATAGTTCAACCCTGCCTTCTGATTTCTCCGTGAACCTCTCTAATAGAAGAGATTATAGGTTAAATAGAAAACCAAGTGTCTTCCCTCTGGTTGTCATACAGGTACACCAAAAAATTTGACTTGATTTTTGCAGTCTCTGCAAGTTTAGGAATAATCAATATATAAATGGAAGAAACTCATGAAATAATGTTTATATTGTACATGTTAAACCTTAAGAAATAATATCAAAATGGATTTGGGGATTCTTCTTTACTTCTCACTTATGTCATTTTTAATATTAAAAATTATAATTTTAAAACTTCATATTCTCAGAATATTTTAAGATGTTAAGCCCATAGGAAAAGTAGGTTACATCGACTAAGATTGTCGCTGGGCGTGGTGGCTCACGCCTGTAATCCTAGCACTTTGGGAGGCTGAGGCGGGCGGATTGCTCAAGGTCAGGAGTTCGAAACCAGCCTGAACGAGACCCCGTCTCTACCAAAAATAGAAATAAATTATTGACCAACTAAAATATATATACAAAAAATTAGCCGGATGGTGGCGCATGCCTGTAGTCCCAGCTACTCGGGAGCTGCGGCAATAGGATCCTGAGCCCCGGAGATTGAGGTTGCTGTGAGCTAGGCTGACGCCACGGCACTCACTCTAGCCTGGGCAACAAAGTGAGACTCTCTGTCTCAAAAAAAAAAAAAAAAAAATGTAAAACATTATAAAAAAAAAAAATTGTGTCAGCAAATGCCTCAGAAGCATGACCAAAATTTCTCTTTTATACATACCCTGTTCTGATGACATGGACCAACAAATTCCTGCCCATTTTCCATCTTAAAATAACTCTTCTTGCTTACCTAATCCATGTTATGCTATCACATAGTCTAGATCAATGAGTCTAGTAACAGTATATTTAAGAGCAGAAGGCCTTCACTCTAAAATTTATCATCTTAATTGTAAAATTAAGTAAGGGAATGAGATCTTTGAGGACAGAATCTCAGTCAGCCCTTTAAATTTATTGTCTTTCTTTAAACCTGTCTTATCTATCTTTCTAATATAGATTATTTTCTTCCCAAGTAAACTGATTATGCTGAACCTAATTTAAATTTCCTTAGCCTCTGAGATTATTAGGATCAATTATGTGTGTCAGAGGTATAGATGGCTTGGGACATTTGACTATTTGAAGCCACCCCAGACATACACTGAAACTTATTTAAGAAATGAGATTCGTTCCTTTCTTATCATGACCTTTTTTACATATAAAATCTAGACTGTACAGAAAAATGACTTCTTAAACTTTGTAACATCGTGCCTTTCTTCACAATTACATATTAAATTTTGCTCAAACCTAGAAGACCGATCCCTCATCCTTAATGAGATCATTTAATATTTTTTATTTAGTATACTTAGCATTAAAACATTTCCACTTCAGTCTCAAGCTTCCTAGTCACCTTAATGTGCTACCTGGCTTACTCGTTTACACCTTGTACAGAAATACTACCATTTCGTAAGCTTTTCTGCCATTTCTACTAAAAGTCATTAAATTGTACTTTCACAATCAAAGACCTACATGGAACTAGCCTGGTTTATTTATAAAGTTGATTTATTTTTGATTTGCTGTAGTTACTCCTATTAATCAAAGCCTTTTTGTATTCAACCAAGCAGAATAGTAAATAGTGCAAATGTAACATTGAGGGATTGGTTTTCCTTAATGCTTTCCTGAGGAAAAACGTTGATTCTTTTCTTCTCCTAGGACTTTTTAATGCTTCGTACTAGCTTACAGATGAAGTTTACTTTAGCCTTGCTATCAAAACACCATCTACTGTGGTTTTAGTCAAGTAAATTTAATTTCAGTTCTTGACTAATTCAAGCTTATTTCCATAAATCCAATCTAGAGGTCTTAGTCCTTTCTGCCATGTTTGTTGACTGTGGGATACTATAGAAACTGATTATCTGCATTGCTGCTACTTCCTTGTTGACTAGCTCACTAGGTTAACTGTTGCCACCAAAGGATGAAAGAGAAGCTCGGGCCTGAAAGGAAAAACTTCAGATCTTGTTTTTATGCTTACTACATATTGGAAATGTTGTAAATTATTTACTTGAGGGGGAAAGCTATTTATGCTGGAGAAGTAGTAAAAATATCATTATGATGACATTGTCACCAATGATGATTCCCAATGGGGGATAAGCTGATCATTTTGAGTGGGCTGTAAGGTTTTATTTTGTCCTCCCCACTTATTACCAACCAACTCTGGCTAAATGTTTGAGATGTTTTTTGCCAGTATTTCCTGTTTTTAGATCTTGTTGATTTGTCAGTGAATTATTTTGTCCCAACACTAGTTTGTCCCAACACAAAACTTAGTTTTGTCCCAACACTAACTAAGCCTATATCAGATGGTTGAATTCCAAAGTGGTATGCTATTATATATATATCATCTCTTCCTAACTCCAAAGTCCATGCCTTCAACTTAGTAGCTTAAAATCAGCCATGGTGGAAGTATTTATACCATGAAAGTCTGGCAGAGAACGTTTAGAGAAAGTTTACCAACACAACACTTTTTGAAGGTCAGCCATAAATTGTAGAAAAACTTTTTAAAACCCTAGTAGTTTAACATAATTCTGTTTATGGTATATTTTGTGCATAGTATAGAAAAGGAAATTTAAAAGAAAGATATTTAGAATGTAAGACAGAGAATCCTTTGAAGGAACCTAAGAACTATGTCCCTAGCAATAAGTGTTTGGTAACCAAACACAAAAGGTAAAAATCCTGTGGCTTCACTCTGAAGTCTTTTGCATTTGAAATTGAAGACTATCTTTAACTTCGAAGTAAAAAACTATAGTAATATTTAAGAATTTTTTTGCAGTAATATTTTATACTTACTAAACTATAGTAATCTTAAATTTTTATAAAATATTAAAATTTAGCAAAATTGATACTAAAAATACATGAAAATATCTTGAAGGTCCCATAGTTTTTCTAGGCTCTTTTGAGTATATCATTAAGCTTTGGTATTAATAGATTCTTTTGAGTCAAGTACTGGTAAGGAATCAGTTCCACTGAAGTTGAGTAATATAGAAAAGCTAAGGTTTAGAAACCAGGAACTAATTTAGATACAAGCAGAATCAGGGAATTGCCAGAGTATCACTTGAACTTTGTTTAGGGGATTTTTTTAACTGTCTTAAACAAATGTATGTAAGATGGACTAAGTGTTCTAATGAGATTCTAAAACTATGTTCTAATTTAAGTCTGAACAGGAATTAAGAATAACTCAAAGTGAATTTGATCGCCAAGCAGAGATTACCAGGCTTCTGCTAGAGGGAATCAGCAGTACACATGTAAGTGTTCATTTATTGGAAATTCATTTGGAACCAAAGTCCTGAGGCAATTTGGACAGGAAAACTGAACTTCCTTTTCAGTCATTTATCAAGAAAATTTAAATTGTGACATTTTCCAAGATATGTGAAGAAATATTTTAAATTTTTGTTTACACCTCATCACCTAGTTCTCCCACCCTAATCATATCCATTTGTTGGGATTTACTGGCTAAGCAGAGTTTGTTACTATACAAGATAGTCTTATTAAGCCTTGTAGTAAGATGCTAGATATTGGTGATGCAACTTTAGTACAATGTTGTGCTCTGTCTCTCCTTTGCATCTGCTACTTTATGCAGACTATAGAGCTAAGAACTAACTATACCTTTCTTTTACAGGCCCATCACCTTCGTTGTCTGAATGACTTTGTAGAAGCCCAGATGACTTACTATGCACAATGTTACCAGTACATGTTAGACCTCCAGAAACAACTGGGAAGGTGATAATTTACTTTTCACATATAAAACTCCTGATAAGAGAAGTAGTTCCAATTTTTGCATGTGAACTAATAGGAGGAATGAAAATTAGAATTTAAAGGCTTTTTAGAATTGGATTATTTTTTTTTTAGGGAAATAATTATCAGACATCTGAGGTAACAATACATTTTGAGCTGTCTGGCACAGAAGAATATTAACAGAGATGAGATAATTTAAGTGAATACCTTTTTAGTGCTCTATAAAGAAAGCTTGAAAGTGTTTGAGTTCACTTTTTTTCTGGCTACTAAATACTTTTTGCTATAGGTTGAGGAAGAGATAGTTGCATTGACACTTAGTTACCATAAAGATAAACTAATTGATACTTTTTCATTACTTACTATATTGAAAAAAAAAAAGTTTTCGAATATTCTGTAAGACTTCATGTCCACTGTTGTGATAGTATATAAAGCACACATAGCCCAATCATTCATTCATCAAATATTTGTTGACTGCCTACCATGTGCCAAGCATTATTTTGTATTCCAGGGTTATATTAGTAAACAAAACAGGCAAAAATGCTTGCCTTTATGTAGCTTACATTATAAGGTGATGCCAGAAATAAAATTATGTACATGGGGCAAGGATAATCTCCATTCTCACAACACTTAGTCTAGGTAGCAATATAGGCCATTGTTGGATAGGCCATGGGATAAGCATAAAAGTAGAAGTACAGAATATTTTGAGGGTATCTAACTGTGACTTAAGTACTCTAACAAAGTTTCCCAGATGAAATTATCTTAGTAGGAATCAGCTAGATGATGAAAGAGGCGCAGCTAAACATTTTCCAAGCAAAGAAGAACATGTAAAAAAGGCCCAAGGAAAGAGAGTAGTATGGTAAGTTCAGGAAACTGATAGTTTCATTCTTGTTGGATCATCATGTTCAAGTTAAGAGTAGAGTGATAGTTGAGTTTGGGAGGAGCTAAGCAGAGTCATACCACTAATGGCCTTTAAAGTAAGTTGGTAAGGAGTTTGAGATTTATATAGCAAGAAACCATTAAAGCAGGGGAGTAATATGTGTCATTTGAAGGAGGAATATCAAGAAAAATTTTTTCAAGAAACAGGGTAAAAAAATAGTTACTTTGCTGTTCCTTTCTGCCCATTAATCCTTCAAAATTAGGCCTAGAACAAAATTAGGCACATCCACAAAACCAATTTTTGGACCTTAAAAATGAGTTGTAGCCTAATGTCATTAGTTATTCTAATGGAATTTACAGAAAGATTTACATTCGTGTATATTAGAGGTTATGTTAGTTATATTAATATCTGAAGGCAGAGCACCACTTTATATCCACATCATTACAACTATTTTAAGTCCAAGAAGCCTTAGTACTTCCTCCTAATTTGTCCTGAAACTCTAGGAGTACAGCAGAGGGGTTGCTCTTGTTACCATTCATATTTGCATTCTGCTTAAAGCCACACAATGCTTGAAACTCAGCCATACAAAAAATATCTAGTTATTACTGCACTTCAGGATAAGCTCCAACATGATAAAGTAAAACCAGTGCTTTAATTCTGGAAAAGAAAGTCTAGCTTGTCTCTCTGCCCTCAAAAAATTATATTACTGCTAAGGACCAATGACAGTAGAAGAAATTTCAGCCCTTTAATTTATTTCAAGTTATGCCTTTTAAGACAGTACATAGAAATATTCAAATGTAGAACTTCACAAATCATCCAAATCCACACCAAATTTCAAAGCTATTTATGAAGAGTAGAACCAGGTTGTGTTGTAATAGCAGTACCAACAGGCAGTAGTAGTAGTAGCATTAGTAGTTACTAAATAACAGCAATCATTTCTATAGGGCTTACGTTGTGCCCAGGCACTCTTCCAGAAACCTCATATGTGTTTGTTTTGTTTTGTTTTTTTGAGACAGAGTCTCACTCTGTTGCCCTGGCTAAAGTGCCGTGGCGTCAGCCTAGCTCACAGCAACCTCCAACTTGGGAGGCGTGAGAGCGCGGGCGGATTGCTCAAGGTCAGGAGTTCGAAACCAGCCTGAGCGAGACCCCGTCTCTACCAAAAATAGAAAGATAAATTATTGCCAACTAAAAATATATATACAGAAAAATTAGCCGGGATGGTGGGCGCATGCCTGTAGTCCCAGCTACTCGGGAGGCTGCGGCAATGGATCACATGAGCCCCGAGATTGAGGTTGCTGTGAGCTAGGCTGACGCCACGGCACTCCTCGTAGCCTGGGCAACAAAGTGAGACTCTCCGTCTCAAAAAAAAAAAAAAAAAAAATGTAAACATTATAAAAAAAAAAAATTGTGTCAGCAAATGCCTCAGAAGCATGACCAAAATTTCTCTTTTATACATACCGTGTTACTGATGACATGGACCACAAATTCCTGCCATTTTCCACTTAAAATAACTCTTCTTGCTTACCTGAATCCATGTATGCTATCACAAGTCTAGATCAATGAGTCTAGTACAGTATTTTAAGGAGCAGAAGGCTTCACTCTAAAAATTTTATCATCTTAATTGTAAATTAAGTAAGGGAAAGAGATCTTTGAGGACAGAATCTCAGTCAGCCTTTAAATTTATTGTCTTTCTTTAAACCTGTCTTATCTATCTTTCTAATATGATTATTTTCTTCCCAAGTAAACTGATTATGCTGAACCTAATTTAAATTTCCTTAGCCTCTGAGATTATTAGGATCAATTATGTGTGTCAGAGTATAGATGGTTGGGACATTTGACTATTTGAAGCCACCCAGACATACACTGAAACTTATTAAGAAATGAGATTCGTTCCTTTCTTATCATGACCTTTTTTACATATAAAATCTGAGACTGTACAGAAAAATGACTTCTTAAACTTTGTACATCGTGCCTTTCTCACAATTACATATTAAATTTGCTCAAACCTAGAAGACGCGATCCCTATCTTATGAGATCATTTAATATTTTTTATTTAGTATTACTTAGCATTAAACATTTCCACTTCAGTCTCAAGGCTTCTAGTCACCTTAATGTGCTACTGGCTTACTCGTTTACACCTTGGTATCGAAATACACCATTTCGTAAGCTTTTCTGCCATTTTACTAAAAGGTCATTAAATTACTTTTCACAATCAAGACCCTACTGAACTAGCCTGGTTTATTTATAAAGTTGATTTATTTTTGATTTGCTGTACTGTCTCCTTTTAATCAAAGCTTTTTGTATTTCAACCAAGCAGAATGTAAATAGGTGCAAATGTACATTGAGGGTTGGTTTCCTTAATGCTTTCCTGAGGAAAACGTTGATTCTTTCTTCTCCTAGGACTTTTTAATGCTTCCGTCTACTGGTTACAGATTGAATTTACTTGCCTGCTATCAAACCCATCTACTCGTGGTTTTTAGTCCAGTAAATTTCTAATTCAGCTTCTTGACTCTTCCAAGCTTATTGCCTAAATCAATCTAGAGTCTTAGTCCTTTCTGCCATGTTTGTTGATTGTGGGATACTATAGAAACTGATTATCTGCATGGGCTACTTCTGTGACTAGCTCCTAGTTAACTGTTGCCACAAAGGATGAAAGAGAAGCTCGGCCTGAAAGAAAAAACTTCAGATCTTGTTTTTATGCCTTATACATATTGGAAATGTTTAAATTATTTTACTTGAGGGGAAAGCTCTTTATGCTGGAGAAGTAGTAAAATATCATTATGATGATTGTCACAATGATGATTCCCAATGGGGATAGCTGATCATTTTGAGTGGCTGTAAGGTTTTATTTGTCCTCCCCACTATTACCAACCAACTCTGGCTAAATGTTTGAGATGTTTTTTGCCAGTTTCCTGTTTAGATCTTGTTGATTGTCAGTGAATTATTTGTCCAACACTAGTTTGTCCCAACACAAAACTTAGTTTTGTCCCAACACTAACTAAGCCTATATCAGATGGTTGAATTCCAAGTGGTATGCTTATATATATATCATCTCTTCCTACTCCAAAGTCCATGCTTCAACTTAGTAGCTTAAATCAGCCATGGTGGAAGTATTTATACCATGAAAGTCTGGCAGAGAACGTTTAGAGAAAGTTTACCAACACAACACTTTTTGAAGGTCAGCCATAAATTGTAGAAAAACTTTTTAAATCCTAGTAGTTTAACATAATTCTGTTTATGTATATTTGTGCATAGTATAGAAAGGAAATTTAAAAGAAAGATATTTAGAATGTAAGACAAGAATCCTTGAAGGAACCTAAGAACTATGTCCCTAGCAATAAGTGTTGGTAACCAACACAAAAGGTAAAAATCCTGTGGCTTCACTCTGAAGTCTTTGCATTTGAAATTGAAGACTATCTTATAACTTCGAAGTAAAAACTATAGTAATATTTAAGAATTTTTGCAGTAATATTTTATACTTACTAAACTATAGTAATCTAATTTTATAAAATATTAAATTTAGCAAAATTGATACATAAAATACATGAAATATCTTGAAGGTCCCATATTTTTCTAGGCTCTTTTGAGTATATCATTAAGCTTTGGTATTAATAGATTCTTTTGAGTCAAGTACTGGTAAGGAATCAGTTCCACTGAAGTGAGTAATATAGAAAAGCTAAGGTTTAGAAACCAGAACTAATTAGATACAAGCAGAATCAGGGAATTGCCAGAGTATCACTTGAACTTTGTTTAGGGGATTTTTTTAACTGTCTTAAACAAATGTATGTAAGATGGACTAAGTGTTCTAATGAGATTCTAAAACTATGTTCTAATTAAGTCTGAACAGGAATTAAGAATAACTCAAAGTGAATTTGATCGCCAAGCAGAGATTACCAGGCTTCTGCTAGAGGGAATCCATAAATCCAATCTAGAGGTCTTAGTCCTTTTTCTATGCATAGGCGACTTATGCTCTCATCTCCCTTTGTGGAATCTGTTCATCACCTTTGTTATAGTTCAACCCTGCCTTCTGATTTCTCCGTGAACCTCTCTAATAGAAGAGATTATAGGTTAAATAAGAAAACCAGAGTGTCTTCCCCTCTGGTTGTCATACAGGTACACCAAAAAATTTGACTTGATTTTTGCAGTCTCTGCAAGTTTAGGAAATAATCAATATAATAAATGGAAAGAAACTCATGAAATAAATGTTTATATTGTACATGTTAAACCTTAAGAAATAATATCAAAATGGATTTGGGGGATTCTTCTTTACTTCTCACTTATGTCATTTTTATAATTAAAAAATTTATAAATTTTAAAACTTCATATTCTCAGAATATTTTAAGATGTTAAGCCCATAGGAAAAGTAGGTTACATCGACTAAGATTGTCGCTGGGCGTGGTGGCTCACGCCTGTAATCCTAGCACTTTGGACGGCTGAGCGCGGATTGCTCAAGGTCAGGAGTTCGAAACCAGCCTGAGCGAAGACCCCGTCTCTACAAAATAGAAAAAATTAATTGCCAACTAAATATATATACAAAAAATTAGCGGGCATGGTGGGCGCATGCCTGTAGTCCCAGCTACTCGGGAGGCTGCGGCAATAGGATCACTGAGCCCCGGAGATTGAGGTTGCTGTGAGCTAGGCTGACGCCACGGCACTCACTAGCCTGGGCAACAAAGTGAGACTCTCTTCTCAAAAAAAAAAAAAAAAAAAAAAAAGTAAAACATTATAAAAAAAAAAAAAGATTGTGTCAGCAAATGCCTCAGAAGCATGACCAAAATTCTCTTTATACATACCCGTTTCTGGGGGTGACATGACAACAAATTCCTGCCATTTTCCATCTTAAAATAACTCCTTCTTGCTTTACCTGAATCCATGTAGCTATCCAAGTCTAGATCAATGAGTCTAGACAGTATTTTAAGGAGCAGAAGGCTTCCACTCTAAATTTTATCATCTTAATTGAAAAATTAAGTAAGAATGAG